ATTTGTTCTAAAATATTATTTCTGTCATGATTTGTGGATATCAAGATCCAAGGAGAAGTGTCATATCCCTGTTAGACCCTGTAATTCAGTGAAAGGGGGGAGTCAGAGTAAAAAAAATATGCATGAGGGGGTCGCTCCATTGGCTGGAAGTTGGAGGGCATTATGCTCTGCAACTGTATATGTGCAGAGTTATCAGTTTGACCATTATTTGAGCTCAATTCAAACTTTCATTTGTTGTTCTAACACACAGCATGATGGGTGTGTTAAAGAACAATATATAACAGTCTGAATATTATTGGATTAAAGAACATATTTTCCACCCCTAATAGGTGATCCAATATATATATATCATAATTGCCCAACAAAAAATAAATCTTCAATGCTCGGAAATAACTGATTTTTTTTTATTTATTTAAAAAAAAACAATAACCCTTTGTCTGTTTTTAGTCTAATACCGGTAACTGCCATATACTCTTAGTTTATTCTACTTAATGACTTCTATTTATTTTAACTTTGGACTTTTTTTTAGATAAAGCCATAAACTTGTATTTCAATCGAGAATTTATTTTCCTAGAAGCCATCCATTCCTGAGCATTGGATTTTATCCTCTTATGTTCATTTAGTTTTAAAAATCAATGTCTTCTCTCTTTGAGAATGTCATGTCATGTTCTTGGTCATTTTGCCTTGGTTCTTCCTTACTAGTAATCATTCCTAACAATTGAATCCATCCACTTTCCAGCTGTTGACTTTCATTCACAACTAAAGATTTACTTCCATCATATAGAGCAACTGACCTTCATCCATTTCCATCCTTTGGACCATTAATCTCTAGTCACCATCCAATCCAAAGCATTGATCTCCATTACTTTCAGTGTATTGACCCTTAACCATTCCAAGCCACTGACTTCCACGTTTTCCTATCTTCTGACCTTGATTGATTCCGACTCACTTATATATAATAACCGACCACTTGCCGCTGAGCTCTGTTCATTTGTAACCTCTTATCCTTTCTAAACCTCTTATTTACTGTGTGTTCGCAATCATTTGACAGCACCAATATTCTACCATTCCTCTCCCTTTTCCTTGGGGCTGACTTTGGCTGGACGTGACAAAGTGTAACCTCTCGCCCATTTTTCCTAGCTATTCACTTACACCCTTAGCTATTAACCTCTTCCTACAGAGTCATATGTAACTGTATCTGTTCATATACTCATCCATAAATTCCCTCTGTTATCACTCAAATCCATATTTCCCACTGCGGGGCAGCCAGATTTTCATGTCTCACACCATATTCAAACAGGAACAAGCAGGTCACATCAATGAAGTAAATCATACCTCATCTTTATCAGACTAAACAGTTTCACAATCAGATCGAATAAGTATCTTTTCAAAGGATGGCAGGAAACACTGCAATTATTTAAAAAAAACTATTCTCACTAACTGATTAGACATTTCACAATGCTGATGTCTGTTTCTGTTAACTATGATTTCCTTTATTTTAAAAACGTATTGTTTTTCACTTTAATCTAAAATTTGCTCTAAAGAGATAGTGTGCTGAAACATAAATGCATTAGTAAACTTTCTTTCCCTGAATGGGGAAAAAAGTGGTTTCATTTTGTTGTGCTTATGCCAATGAAACGAGAGTGGGCTATCAGAGCGTCGTCCAGGGCTAAATGGCGCTTCGCCAAAGTCCACTTCATATTCTCAGACCCTTTTTTTGTTGGAACAATTAGGAACACGATGTCCTGGATCTTGGCCAACATACCGACAGATGCAGACTCTCTTCCTCTGACCCTCCCAAAGGACACGATTTGGCTTCATTACATGGAGACGTTGCATTTAGAAAGGCAGCATTCAACCTTCATGTCAATAAATCACATGGAAGGATTGATAGAGTCTGCTCAGGTGTCTTTGCTCATCAAGTCTCTGCTGCCCTGATTCTATATTCAGCAAGCAAAGCTTTTAGTAAATGTAGTTTACATGCTTCAGTGACCCTTGGACATGAATCCCAGAGCAAGTATCATTGAGGTAGATCAATAATACACTCTTGGAGAGTTTGTTAATGTAATCAACACCTATTCAGGCAGTTCTGTAAATTATACCATGTGACACCACCTATTTTAATGAGATATATATTTTCTTTACATATTTTTTCTTAGTTCATCCATTTTTTTAAGGCTGCTTTTGTGCACAGGTTCAAAGGGAAGATCTCTGGATGAGAGGCAATGGAAAGGGCATACAAGTTAACTAAGGCCATTTATAGAGACAAATAAACATAACAGTCAGGTTTTTGGTTTGTGGAAGAAAGTCAAGATACCCAATATTAGTTTGATTTTACTTGAGATTAAAAACATGATTCATTGCAAGAAGGAGGTCAGGGAAACACTTGTATGAAAGGAGTATCTGGGAGTCCTGCCAAACTACAAAGAAATGTAAAAATTTGACATGGTAAGCGTAGTTTTCATGTAGTTATGCTGCCTTCAAGTGGTATCGTAATTATGAGTATTGACCACTACCAGTATTGACCCAATAGGATATTAGCATGAATCATGAATACTTTTATTACTCATTTTGTGGAGTGGAATGTTATAAAAGTTTGTAATAGTAATATTAATCAGAGAACAATAGCCAATAGGTTACAGAGGGTTTAAACAAAATATTCTAAATCAATATATAAACCAATACAGTTCAATATTCAATTTTTTGTCTAAAATCGGATCGATTTCCGCTATCAATATTGGATAGGGACATCCCTAAAGAAAATAATATGTGTTTTTTTAATATTTTTACTGGCTCTGTATGTTGAGAAATATATTTTGTTTTGGCAAAAAACAAACAAAGTTGAAGCATTGATTTATTACGCATTTATTTATAAAGTTTTTATTATTACAGAGTTTTCTCCGATAAGGCAGATTATATGAACTTCCAGAAAGATGTTACTGCAAAACATTCCAGCTCGCATAGTGGCATACAAATTACAATGAATTTTTTATAATAAATGACAGGAATTTAATCAGGCTCACAATGATGTAATATAAAGGATCAAAAAAATACTGGCTTCAACCCAAAGCCTCTGCTGGAAGATTTCTCAATATAATACATGACATAGAATACATTAGAAATACGCAAATATCTAAATACGGTATAAGCACTAAAACTTATTGGTCTATATGACAATTTAAGGAAAAAAGGTTTGTGTGCATAACTACAGCAAAAGGTCTTGCATCCTGTCAAGCTAGCTAAAGCTACCCAGATGTCTAAAAGACATTGGAGGACAGTAATTTATGCAAATTTCTAAGTCACTTAATTGAAGGAAAAAATACTATGCAAACAAATAAGCCATTTCTATAGCATATATGCAGCTTTGCACTGCCTAACAGCACCACAACATCCATTATAGTCTAACTACATACTGTAGTGTGTCAGAGGGCATGCCAAGGAAGGTCAGCGAGCCACGGCGATCTGAGTTGTTTCAACAAGTCTTAATAATTTAACACAACCATGTGTCAAATCCAGACAATGGTTTAAAGTTTTAACATCGTTGAAGTTTAAAAGAGGCAGGGCAAGAGAAGAAAGGTCCTTAAATGAAATATGCAGGCAAATACTTACATTTTTAAAAGGAGTTACCAGCTTCCTAGATGAAAGATAATGCGTTAACTAAGATTCAGCAGCAGGACAACACTTCCACAACCCATTGAATGACCTGGTTAGCCTTCTTTTCAGATGGTTAGCCTTTTTGCCAATGCCTGTCTCATGATATTAAATCCACTCCCTCTTCTCACCCGGCCCATCCTGCCACTCATATTCCTCACCCTTTAATATTAACCCTTTAATCTCCAACCTACAAATTCCACATTATGACGCCTTTACATTCCACTTGCCCTCCCAATCACCCGCTACAACCCCATTTTCTCCCACTAATAGCCTACTTCTCATCCCACCAATGCTCTTTATTAATAGCCCTTCTCATCTTACTACTCCTATTTGCCCTCATTCTTCAACCTTCTACCACTTAGTCCCTATCATTTATCCTCATCCCTCTATACACCCTTGTTTCCACTCATCCATCTCCACCCTCTCAGTTGATCTAATTCATCCCTTCTTAATGCCCTATAGTTCTCATTTCTTATTCATAAACACTGTTAATTCCACTCATCTTCCTCAACCCCTTCATTTTCTATTGTTTTATTAATCTTGGTACCCCCTTAACATCCCACTCATTCTCCTTATCAGACATTATGACCCTCTTACAATCACCTCCCTTGTCTACGAATCCCATTCATCCCCTCAGTGCCTCATTATGGCACCCATCATCCTCCTGATGCTTTATCATAACCTCTTATTCCGGTCAGTATCCTTGTGTCTTATAATGACTTTTATTCAGTTTATTCTTTTTATTGTAATTTATGACTTCCTGCACATCCCAGTAATCTTCCTAATGCCTCATTATGACTGTCTTATCCTACTCAGCCTTCTGTGTACTTATGACTTCTTTACAACCTACTAATAACCGTACATCTATGATCCCACTGTCACATAAGTAAGCCCCTCTCTGCCTGGTCATGACCTCTTCACAACCTACGAATTCTCTTCCAACCTCATAATCATTCTCATCACCTCCCTCCCACAGCTAGCACATGCTTCATTATAAATCCCTTTCTCATCTTATAAATCTTATCATACCTATCGGATCTCATCCCACTCACCCCAACCCCCCCCCATCTGCTCAATGTCTCATAAGGACAACTTTCTATCCCACTCATTGTCTTCATGCCTCTTTCTGTTCCGTTCTCCGTTCTTTTCCCTTTCGAAAACATTTAATAATACCAACTAACAGCTAAGCTAATCTTACAGTGCTGTACAAAACTTGTCCATAACAAAACATTTCATATACGCCCCAATTCAGTTAAATTGTTTTAAATGATACCAATCCAGCACATCATCTTCCTTGATGGTCCTTAGTCTTCTTTCCACACTTCAGTACTGATTTGTCCTCTCTTCCATTGTATCTGATGGGATCCTTAACTGGATCCATTTAAAACATCCATCTTCTTGATGATCTTGATTGACTCATGATGAACCTCGGCTTCAGATAAACCCATACCCAGATCTGCTTGGTCTAATGCTGTTGTAGTCTGGCCTTTAACTAGTGAAATGCTGAAATGAAGGTTTGCTGCACGTCACTGCAGTGTTATATCTATTAATCTGCTCAGTATTCTGCTATCTATCCCTAATGTATCTAAGTCACCTACAAGCAGCGATGATTGGGGGGAGGGGGGTTCTTTGTGCCTTATTGCTTTTCCAGTTTATTCCACAGTCTCGTTCCCTGAAGTTTCTCGGAGTTAACAGTCAAGAGGAACTGTCTGTTTGTCCTCGCTGTCCACGCTCTGGGTGGAGGGCTTCTCATCACGCCGCACCGGTCGGACGATGACGCACGGCCTCGCTGGTTCCCCTGCGCGCGGAGCAGCGCGTGAGGGGCTACGACTGTCGCGTTCGTATTCCTCCTGCGCGCGCTGGATCTTCCTGTTCCGGAGCTTCCTCTTGTGGAAGTGGAACGTTGCCAGGGAAACGAGGATGATCCCCACGAGCACCGCCACCAGCACGAGGAGCGCGAGGGTGGAAGAGAGCGGCGGGAAGATGCTGAGCTGCTCCGCGCAGGTGCCGTTGCTGGCGTGGAGCCCTCCGTGGCAGCGTTGCGGAGGCGCCATCAGCCCAGAGGCCTCGGCGGTTCTAGACGTCATCCGGTCCTACTTGTTTCCCCCGCCCCGAGCTCTCCTGTCTCACTGACCCCTGATACCCTTCGTGCTCTCTGGGATCAGCGCGGGGACACCGGCGCGCGCATGTGGTTACCTGCACCGGAAAGAAGATACATGTGACTCCCTGATCCAGATCCCAAAACACTCCAAATATTCGTTCCACCTGCTCCTGGTTACATTAGATTGAATGATCCAATTAACGTGCGCCCATCTCTCTCTCTATCTCTCTGTCCGATTACCCCAATATAATTAATAAAAATGAGTCCAGTAAGGTGTGGAGACTAAAAAGAAGAAACCATAATCTTATATTGTAATAAATAGGCCTGTAAGATTAACAATTCCTGCAGCGTTTTAAAACGATAAAATCTGCTTTACGCATTGGATAACGTCTGCACTGGTTACAAACACATTTTAGGTAATAAATGTAAATAAAAAAACATGTATTCTTACCCGATGAAGCAGATGGCGAATAAAACAATCCGTGAGTTAAGAGATGAAATGTGTGAACCGGATCGCGGTGACGCATTTCATACAATGAGAGGCTGCTGCTGCTGCTGCTGAAAGCCGATCATTCAAGTTGCTTTGGATTGCCGCAATCCTCTCAGTCTGCATCCAGGGCAGCACTTTCCCCACATTAACGTTTACAGGTAGCTGGAGAATCCCTCAGTGTGCATCAAAGAGAGAAGAAACTGAGACGAAATGCGATTAAAAATGGGGCTGGCTGTTTCTTTTGCTTTGTTTTTTTTTCCCTGCAAGAAAAAAAAAGTCTCCTCCTCTGGTGGTGATCCACTGCTCCTCTCAGCATGTGAATGAAGAGCTGCAGCTGCATTAAAGCTCCTTGATAGCCTACCAGTCAGCTGGGAGGGGTGGGTTCTTCCTCCCATTTGAAGGGTGTAAAACAAGCCTTTCCTGCTCTACATTTTTGCATTTTAGATCATGCCCATCAAGCATTGATTGATTTGTTTTTAGATTATATTCGTTTGCTGAGGGCGTGGCCAGTCAAGCAAAGCAAATTTATATGGTTTTAGGGTTTAAGTTTAGATATGAAACAAATCAAGTACATTTCTGACCTGAATATTAAATGTACTACCTGTGACTGTTAAATCAATTCTGACCTGTTAATGATTTATTCAACCAATTCGATTTTTTGAGATTGGAATGACTAAAAAACTAAATTTTTAAATGGAATAATTTGGTACTTTTTATGTGGGTTGCCTTTAACCTACATATGCTCAAAATAATACTAGCAGGCATAAACAATTAAACACATAAATCCACATTATTTGATTAAACCTCTCTCATCAAAGGAATAGCCATTTTCAACATCCCTTTGTAATTTCTCTGATGGGGCACTTGACCTTCTCTTATAAACAAATGGTCTGTTCATATCTGGACAAAAAAGTATGGTAAAAAAAAAGAACAATCTACAAAAAAGGCAATCTGCATGAGTGCATACAATACCCCGGAAAATGCCTTATCTTTGCCGGGCCCATTGGAGATGCTTACCAGGCATGATCAGACAGCTCATGCATATAATTTTGGGTTCATGAAAGACATTGCATTAATACCCCCAATAATAAAAAATTATGCAAGCTTTAAAACTGCTACAAAGCTATCAATTACAGTTTTAGTGTAATTTTTTATGTAAAATTTCAACAAAGAAAAATTATCCTATGAAAAAAACTTAAATATATTACCTTTAAACTTTATATTAAAAATCATCCTCTTGAAATTATAACAGCTTATTTAAAAATGTACTCTTGAAAAGTGTGTTCAATATATTCATGCTCATGTTTTGCTGTTTACAGCTGAAACATCAGGGAGAACACAAAGATAATTAAGTTTACTGCTGGATTTTGCACCCCTGCGTAAATACAGCCATATGGTGGCAAAGAAGTTCACGAGAGTGACTGAGAGAGATGAAGTTAAAACATCAGCATTTCAGAAAGGATGCTATTTATATGCACACAAAGAAATATGACTCTGGGACCCGATTTTGACAGTCATATTGGTCTGCTAGAATGCCGGATCCAAGTGGATGCAACACCCCAAGCCACAAAATAATATTATCTATATGCCTAAGTTTGCCTCCATATAGCGGATTGTTGTCGTTGTCGGGTGCAGTGGTTGTTGTCCAGACCAACGTCACCGTGGCAACATTCAGCCAATCAAACAGTGTAAAATCCCTGCAGGCACAGGGCCTGAGCAGATCTGGTATCTACACCAGGACTATTTTGATAAAGTCTAACGTTATGTTCAGACCGCATGCTGCAGAAGCAGCAAAAGCAGCCAGTTTACATGCAAAGTCAATGGTTGACGTGCATCAAGGCGCAACAAAAGGTCCTGCTGCTTGCTTTGAGCAGCAGGAGATGCTCGTCTGAGCAGCTGAAGTAGCACCTCACAAGCTTCTGAGCATCTGAGGCGTGTGATGTGCTCCAAAAGCAGCAGCTGCTGGAGTTGCTGCTCGATGCACCACATCAACCAATCAGAGAAGCTGATCTGGGAGCTGGCAGGTAGACAGACATAGCACTGCTGATGCAGATCGCTATGATCACTCCACTGAAACAGTTTATTAACGCCTAAATTAACTTAAAATGTCGAACCCTGCTGGCAAAATATGTTGCTTTTATTATTCTGGTGCCTGCCGTTTGGATTAAGTACATGAAAAACGCCTTCTAGCTGCTGTGAACAATAGCTGAAAACCACGAAGAGGCGACTTTGCCAGAAGTTCCCATTTAGCGAGATTTCCAGTGACAGAGCTACACTGGTGTATGGGGGTCTGAACGGCTCCAGCCAAATAATATTTGAAGGCAGGATCGTAATCTTGATGAACTGACTGCACAGGTGGTGTTTTCAGGTGGACTTTCTCACTTAAAAGCATATTAAAACTACTTTTTACCCACTTATGACAGCAAATTTAGTGAAGCATCTCTCTGCCATTGAACACAGGAGCAGCAGAAGCATCAGACGCATCTGGACACACTTTACTGGATGTCTGACCTTAATGTGTACAATCATCAAAAATGAAGCAGCAGAAGCTTTTTTACTGCTTCCAGTGCTTGTGGTCAGAATGTAGCATTATTCATTAAAATTAGCCTGGAAACTCTTTGGATTTCATATGCCATTACAGGCAAAGAAAGGCTAGGTTAGCTCCGCCCAACGTGCATCAAACCCTTTTCCACTGCGCAGCTAGAGCAGCAAAGATGCTTGAGAACTAAACTACACAAGCAAGAAATATGAAGCAGCATATGTGTTTTTGCTGCTTCTGCTGTGTGCGGTCTGAATTAGTTAGGCTGTCAAATTTAGCAGTGCATCTCACAAATCCAAACAGGCCCTGGGCAGGATGCTGCCACCATTATGTTTTACACTAGGCACCTTACTGGTAAGAATATCTTCCCCTAAATCTTTTAAAAATGTTTCCTGTCATTTTTTTCCCAATTAACTCAAAGTTAGCCTTGTGTAAGAATAAAGCTATTTTCTAAAAGCATTTAGCCTTTCCAATTGGGCAGCTAGAAATTTTGGAAAAGCTTGTAAATGTTAATCTTCTTTCCTAATAATTGTGCTGAAATGTCTCTGAGCCAGTTGTTACTTGACCAAACACATTTTATCACAACAGCAAGCTTTTGGCAGTACATTGGTCAACTCTTCATGCCAACATTTAGGTCTCAAAGTCAATTTTAGCCTGCTTCAACAGTTCCAAAATCAGCCATTCTTTTGGGATCACTGTTTTATTTAGATACCCAGTTGTGTCAAAGTTTCAGCCATCTGAACCTGGTGCCCATCTCCAGTCGCAATTTGGAGAGAGGCAAAGTACACCTTGGGCAATTTTCCAGTCCATCACAGTGAAACTCAGAGGCACACTGGAAAAGTAGCCGCAGGAACCAACAATCATGTATGAAGACACATTTAGAGAGAACAAATAACATAGCATTTATGTCTTTGTACTTTGGGAGAAAGGCAGAGTGGCTTTAGAAAACCCACATATGCCGAGGGACAACATGGAAATGCCATGCTTGATGAAAAATAAATAGAGAAGCAATTAAAGATCAAATTTGACACTGAACTACTGACATCTTTATTCTCACAAAGCCCTTGGACTGTGTTTTTTTTGTTGTTTTCTCTCTTTCTTACAATCCGTTTTAGCTATCAGGCTCCTCTCCTGTGGAAAAAAACCACCAGTTTTAGCCCATTAGCCGGACACCCTGTCTACTTTTAAGGCAAGGCTTAAACGTTCCTTTTGATATAGCTTATAGTTAGAGTGGCTCAGGTTATCCTGAGCTATCTCTTTAGTTATACTGCTATAGGCTTAGACTGCTGGAGGACATAGGGACCCCTTTTCAACATTCTGCTTCATTCTATCTCTATTCTCCTGTTCTGCAGTATTTGTTAGTTCAATCTCTAATATTATGATCTCTCTGTTGCCCGTGACAGCATCCTGGAGAGAAATACCATCAGTTTCTCAATTTAAACGAACAAGAGTATGTACTTGTGCTCTTGCCAAGTACGTTCTTGATAAGAATACAGGAAAGCATAGACTCAGGGAGAACGGGAGCATGCAGAATAAATATGGGTCATTTGGAACAGAAGCATAACACTACCACATTCAAAGCTCATCTGGAGCTCATTCACCTGTTATTAATAGTCTCTAGACAATAACAGATTATGACTTTTTAATCTAGTGATAAACATAAACATTTTGCCAAAAAAAAAAAAAAAACTGCACCAGAGCTTACGGTACCTCACACACGGCTATGCCGAGAGGGGGCTGCTGGTTTCCACGGTCCTCTCAACATCAGAAGTTGTTGAGAACATCCAGGGACTCAGTCTGTTCTCTGTCTTGTGTTCTTATGAATTGGAACAGTGCTTAGGCTGAGGCTAATGAAATTTCAGGAGCACATGAGAACGCATAAGTACACATATTGAGAAAAAGCCATCAGCTGTGCTGCTGCCATCAACACCTTTGTTTATAGATGTTGGAGTTTGGCCTGTTTTTCAGTGTAGTCCTGTTTTCCTGATTGTGTCTAACTGTATATGCTCTCTTTCCTCCTCAAACATGGGAGCTTGGTTGGAGGTCATCTGCCTGGCCGTGTGTTTCCTGGACAGAGCTGGTTGACAGTTGCCTTTTGTATCTCTGCTTCTTTTTCTATATCTGCTTCATTTTCCTTGAACCCCAGTCGGACTCGGCAGATGGCAACTCACATCTAGCTTGGTTCTGCTGGAGGTTTCCTCCTGTTAAAGGGGAGTTTTCCTCTCCACTGTCGCTACAAACATGCCTGGTATGAGGGACTGCTTTTGAGTCAATGAGTTGATGCAATCAACTGGTTTTCATTTGATAGGAAACTTTGAACCAATATGACTGTATGACCTGGTTAAATTGTCTCCGTAAAGTGCCTTGAGATGACATGCTTAATGTATTTTCTTTTTAGATTTTATGGGCACTGTTATTCTTTACTTGATAGTCAGCTGACAGAAAGAGTGGTTAAGAGGGAGGAGGAAGACGGGCAGCATGCATCTTCTTACAGGTGTGGTGTTTCAGCGGTAGTATTCACACCAAATAATAATAATTGAACTTTATCGATCTCTCATTGGAGAAATTAACCTCTGCATTTAATCCATCCCCTTGGGAAGCAGTGGGCTGCCATTGTGGGGCTCAATCAGGGGTTAAGCATCTTGCTCAGAGACCCAGAGTAGCAGTCTGTTGGAGTAGGTATCGGACTCGCAACCTTAGGATTTGAATCTCAATGCCCTAACCAGTAGGCCACCACTGCTTCTTAGTGCTTTAAATCTCTACAAACCAAAGATAGAGAGAGCGGATTGAGAAGATGAAATAGCTATATTCTGGGTAAACAACAGTGTATAATTATCTTA